TATATATATATATAAATGAGATAAAAATTCTTAATTATTTTTAAAAGAATTTGAAATTCTACAATTTTAAAAATTTATAAATATTTAAATTTCAAATTCCTTATAAATTATTCATCTAAACAAAATATTAAATCCTAAAGCATTTGATTTTATACTTCAGGAACGAAAAAAAAAATATTTGATTAAAAAAAAAAAGAATTACTCCTTTAAAATCTTTTATTCAAATACACTATAATTAAATTTTTAACATTAAAAAATTCTTTAAATTTAAAATAAATGATATCAGCTTAAAAATAAAGTTAAACCAATTTATAATTTTTATATTTTGATATAAACCTTCATAAGAATTATAACTATTCCCACACTGAAAGTTATTATAAATTAACTGACCAGCATGACGCCGATTCCGTACAGTTCCATGCAAAAATCAAGTCTTACCACGTTCAGTTTCATAAATATTGAATCACTCGCGAGTCGTAACTATCAATATCATGGACGCTAATGTAATTATGTACTTTGCTTTCTCACACCTTACCAATTCTGCTGATATTGCTTGCCACCCTTGCAAATTCATTGTTTGATTAGGAAGTTGTGTTTCAAGGGAGACTTATATTATATATAGCATAGAAACTAAGTTAAACATACTTTTTGAAAAATAAAAATAAACGATTTATATTTCATATAAAAAAGAATGAAGTAATTTAATATAATGGATAAAAGAAAAACTTTAAGAAATATGCTCTCTATCTCTTCCCCAACCCCATCTTTTCTATCTTTTGTCTTTTTTTCACTCTCTTCCAGAGCACTTATTTTAACTCAAAAGAAATAATAAAAAAAATATCATACAACTTAATTTTTATTTTACTCGGTCAAACGCACCAAATGTAAGAGAAAGGTTGACATGTTTCTAAAATATTTTATGCATTTTTTCTGAAACTATATTTAATTCTCATATGTTCTTAAGGAGAAGAAAACTTACGTAAAAAAAGGCAAATTCTACCAAAGTTAAACCATCATTTTCATACCTGAAAATTGTTTATACAAATAGTTTAACACTTTTGTTCATTAAATAAGAACTGAGATTTCATCCCCATCTTAAACATATAGTTATGAAAACGTTACTCTTAAAATCAATAATACCAAAAATATTATTCTCATAACATTTTCTAGTTTCAGGAAGAAAAACAATAATAACTCGATTGAAATAAAAATTATGATAAAATCGTGCGTTGTTATATGTATAGGGATGATAAGTAAATAACTACTACTATCTAGTTAAATATCACTGCCGTTAACAAATTCAGGACACAATATTTTTTTTTTCTCACTGCGATTTATGATGTTAAAATACTACGAAAAATGGAAAACGGTCAATTATGAAACATTTTATGTATGCAGTGGATGAGGCGGCGTGACAGAAAATTTAGCGTAAACAATGCAGAGAATATTCGCCAAAAAAAAAAAAAGGAAAAGAAATAAAGGGAAGACGGTGTTAAAAGAGAAGGGTCAAAATGGACAGCTAGCTATTATTGTGTGGCATGAGCATAGCGTTGTTGAGTTTTGTGATACACGCAAATGGCAGAGAATGAATATTGAATAGGATTGGTTGCTACTAAAAACAAAGAACATAAAAAGTTTTAAGGAAAAAAAAAAAAGCATAGAAAGTCAAGCCGACAACCAAAAAAATCTTCCAACTTTTGCACGTTCTCTCTCTTTCTAAGGGTCATGGTCATAATGATATTCATAGCATCCATTTTTCCCATTTTTTAAATGCTGCAGACCGTGGAATATTTAACCTTAGCAAACCAATTTGGCCAATGCCATCCATCAAAGGTCACCCTTCATCCTTATTCATATATTCTACTATCAAACCAAACCCACAGAAGAAGAAAAGAACAACAAAGGCTTTCATTTGACTTGGACCAACTTTTAAGTAATTAGAAGGATGTATGCAAATAAGGTTACAACTTACAACATAGAAATCATTAACTAAACTTTGTATTAATAAAAAAATACAGAACCAAAAATACGAATCCAAACTCGGATATTGCCAACTCTCTTCAGATTCCGAGTCAGTTTTTAAACTCTAAATTTGGAACCAAATTTTGTTGGCATTGTATCTACAAATAAATTCGTTCTCTAAGTTTAATAGTTAAAAAATACTAGTGCAATAAAAAGAATCCTATCCAAATCACTTCAAGTGATTACCCGCGTCCGTATCCTTTAATATATACACTTAATCATATGCTAAGTTTCGTGCTAATAAATATTGTATTCTGAATGTGAAAAAGGCTTCAAAGTAATAATTCAATGTTATTGAAAATTAAAATTCTTGTACATCAAATCTAGGATTTTAGACAAGACCATTGAGGTTGTGACAAAGCACTTTCCAAGGCTATATATGCTAACTTTTATGAGACCCTATATTATGTCACATGGGACAAAAAAATGTCCAGAAAAATCGAGACTTCTATAGACAATCATTATGGAAGCAAGTCAAAAGTAGAGGTGCCAAGTTAGGATCCTCTTCTAAATCCAATGTTGAAGAACAAAATTCCTATGTACTTAACTCCTATAACTTGGGAAATAAACAGCGTTTTAATTTCAAGGTTTACTTCCCTCTAAATCAAAATAACTCTATGCAAGTCCAAATGGTGAATGGATTTGTTATTTTCTACAGTCAATTGGATGAATCTTCAATCCATAGAATGCTGCAGGTCCACCATAGAATAGCTTCATCTCCTTGCATTAGCCCACTGCCTATTGTGATATCCAGGTTTGAAATGTGGATTTCTGCGGACAACTTGCTTGGGGATATCATTTATTTCCATAACTTGTATTGTTCTCTGCTTCTTAGCTGCATTAAGAATTAAATGTCAGTTTCATCAATTATTTAGCAACTGAGGAACGTGCACAAAAAAAATCTTGTGTTATACTTTATTGTACCAAGTTCTAAATTCTAAAACTTGATCAATCAAATCCAACATTTAAGGTAAGGAATTTAACATTGGAGAATAAGATTCTGTCAAAATGTTAAAACTAGTTGACACTAGACTACTTGAAAATCAAATAGGACATGGAATATAAACATGGATTTTGGATAAAGAATGACAAACCATTTTCAACTTGTTGATAGCTCTCCTGAAGTTTCCTCTTGGTGGCTTCGAGCTTCACTTGGACTGCCGCATCATCTGAACGCATGGATTTCTGATAGAGAAAAGCTAGAGATTAGAGAGAACTCAATCCTATAAATTTTGATGCACAGAGAGAATTTTCCTTACATCTAGCTGACCGGTGGGAGGCCTCCTTGTGTTTGAATTGTTCTCTACTTTTTGCTGCATCTTTGGCTCCATGTTACTTTTTCTTTGCATATTTGATTTTGGTGGTCTTCCAGGACCGGAATCAGCAGTAACTGGTTTATTTAGCCACACAGCAGCCTCATTTTTCTTTGGTTGCTGACTCTTAACCTCCCTGTCCCTGGTGGAGATGTCTGTCTCATGGGAGGCTTGCAACTTCCTCTTTTCTATAAGTTGGCCGTTCAAAGCTGGCCTTCTCCCATTCTCACGGTTCTTGTTGAACTGCTCAGTTGGTCGAGGATCTGAAACAAAATTCCCCATTCATTTATCATTAATCTAAGACCTGGGAAATTCAACTACACAACTGTTCAAGGATAAGAGATTGTAAATTCAACTTACTTCCATCATCATCCATGCCATCAAAGAACTTTACATCATCCAGATAAGTGACATCCAACAGAGAGAACCAGAAGTCAGTCTCTAACTATTAAAGCCTGTAACAACTATTGGGGGGAAAGGACAAGCAAATACCTGTGAGAGTTCCATTGAACCAGTTTGAGTTACAAAGAAAGCCCCTTCATCCAAAGGAGGAGATGGAAGTCCTTCTTCTTCATCATCATCATCAACAACAGATGGATTTACTGAATCAGGTGTGCCTTCAGAACCTACTAAACATTTACATAACTTGTGATCAAACATGAAATAATTTCTAAAGGAAAAAAAGGCATCAGGATGGTTCTGATTGTAGCCAAATAAAGGCATATAAAAATTTCTACCTGGAATAGCTGTGGTAGCAGTGGCCTTTACCCATTCATCCACCATTTCTTTCCAGCCACTACAAAGTCAGGGTAAAGTTTAGAATGAAGTTGTTCAGCACACAAGTGAACAAATTAAACAGCTTCCCTATCTGAACTAGGGTGCTAATATGAATCTAAACTATAATAGCTAACTTTTAAGTAGATGAACTGTACTAGCATAAGCATGACTTGCATTGAACCTTAACTGACCATAACCTATTCACCTATCTAAAGATCTACATTGATGTTAAAAAGGCATCACATGTGAGATTAACTAACTATGATACAAGGCAAACTAAATCTAACAACCGATTACCCTAATAATTAAATCTATACACCAGTTAATTAGTTCAGGATAGTTGATTTTCAACAATAAGATGACAGTGAATTGTATTTACCTTCACTTCCTCTCTCGCACTTCTAGAATAGCAAACCACTAATTTGAATCAAAGAAACCAAATAGAAGGAAATTCTTTGAATCCAAGTAATTGAAAACAAAATGGCTGGTTTCTTCTTCTATAAAGCAAATCAATTAACCAAATACTACATTATAGATGACAAACAAACATCAAGGAGAAAGTAATTCATACTCGATGAGAGTCTTTGCAAGTTGACGGATATATTTTGACCCATGCTTTCTGAGAGGGTTGACAGCTTTGCCAATCTCAGTTGCCTGGCAAACATAAATTCTGAGGATTAGAGCATTGAAAATGCAAGAACAAATTAATTACCCAAAAGCAATCTCAGTTGCGTGGCAAGCTTAATTTGAGTAACTAGGGAAGATTCAATTCAAACCTTCAGACAATCCACAGTGAGTTCAATGAGCTTAAGCCTCCTCAATGAATCAAGCAATACAGACTCAGACTGTTGCAACATGAAACAACAAAGTAGCATCAGCGTGACAATAACCACGGCAGACAAAATAACTCAAGTCCTCAAAACAACCACCAAAATGCCATCCAAAAAAAACCACATTTCTTGCAACTACAGAACCTCAGAAGGCCAGAACTCATCCTTCCTAAAGCCCCCATCAAACATCAAAGTAAATTATAACAGCAAGAACAAAAAACAAAAGTCAATAGAGAAAGAGGGATGCCAAACCTCTTCTTCACGGTTATGAAGAATGTCCCTGATCCTCAAAATCTCCCCTATATACTGAGATTCCTCTTCAATCTCATCCGTCAATGCCTCGGCCTCCCCAAAGCTATAGTTGCTAACAGGGTTCACATCCAAATCTCCGCCACCATTGACCTTGCTCTCTTTGCTTGCCCCTGCTTCTTCTTCTCTCTCAAACCCCACAATCTTGCAACCCCTGTCATCAAGACCATCATCATGACCATCATCATCTGCTTTCTCTTTACCATCCCCAGACACAGCCACAGCCAACTCCACACGGTCACATCCCAAACACCGAGTCAACCTTGAAGAGAACAACCTCTCCGCGATTCCATCCCTCCTCACTCTAAACTCCTTAGGACAATCCGAAGCCGCCACAATGATGGCATGCTCAATTATCTCAAATATATCCGAATTCGCACTCCCAAAGTAACTCCTCCACTCATCCAGTGACCTCGACTTCATCCTCATTCCCACCAAGAAAACAGATCCAAAAATTCAACACAAAACCAATCAGCCTCCACTCAAATTTGGATTCTCAAATTCCCATTCATGTGATCGTCCTTCTTGATCCCTGAACACAGCAATGACGAAGGGTGAAAAGGGTACCACAATCAATATTCAAAGCTTGTAAATTCACCAGCTTTTTTTCGCATGGCGTCACGTTTCGGCGAAATTGGATTGGATTAATGTTCGGGTTGGGCTCGGTAACAAAGAACAGAAACCATAGGCATAACATAAACAAACACAAGCGTTTGCGTATGTAAATGAGAACAAACAACGTTGTGAGTTTGCGTTGCTGTTTCAGATTCTGGCGTTAAAGACCAAAACCCAGGAGAAAAGAAAAGGAAAAAAGACCCCTTTCTCCCTTTTTTTCCTCTCTAAATAAAACGGAAAATTGAAAAACCGAATCAGAAGAAAAGGGTGTGAATATATTTTGTTTGTAAGTAATGTAATGTAATGTTGGAAAGTGGAGAGAGAAGATGGAAAAACAAATACCGCGTGCTTAAGAAAGTGGAAGCGAAAACCAGTGTGTTGTTGTTGAAAGGGAGAGAAGGTTGTGAATGGTGGTCTTTATGGGTGTGTTTTGACTTTGATCAGAAAGACGCAATGGTTAGATGAAACGTAGAAAAAGAGAAGTGTCTCTCTCTCTCTCTCTCTCTCTGCACTTGCACTGCACTCGCTCTTTTTCTTTTCTATTTCTTTATTTCTCGACGATAATAATATTTTAGGAATTGATAAAGATGAAAAGAGTGGAGCATGAAGTATTATTAAAAAGCAAGTAGGTAGTGAATGTGGCACTATGTAGTTATAGATAGGACCGAGGAAGCGCTTCTCACCAAGCCAATTTTGTGGGACCCTCCCACTCAGACTTACTCTTTTTTCACTATAACATAAATAGATTTTATTATTTTTTATTTTTATTTTTATTTTTTTATACCCATTTGGTAATACTATATCTTCTTTCTTCAACAACATTCATTACCGTGAAATACGTTTTTTTACCATAACTGCTTAACCTTAATTTTTAATCATGTTGACAAACTAAGAAAAAAACAACAACATCAAACCAAAACTTTAGTATAATGATGTTACAGGAATTTTATATATTTTTTACTTGCAACTGTGATCTAATTTGTATATCGAGATTACTATCAATATTGTTGAAACAGAGTTCTAATTTTAATCCTCGAATAATCATGAAAATAGTTATAATATAACTATCTTTTACTTAATATTATTACTCTTTCGGTTTCTTGTTACATCTAATTAAGTTTTTTTTTTAAAAAAAATTCTTTGTATTTATAGTAATTATTTTATAAAATCTTGAAACATTAAATATTTTTTTGGTACATTAAATATTTCTTTTGGTACATTGAATATTTTTTTTAAAATCTATCTTCAATGCGTGGATTTCTAATATCATTAATTACCCTAATCTTTTTTTTATATAAAATTTTCACTTTTTCAGTAGTAGAAGATAACAATATTTATTCTTTTCTCTTTCATATTTATCAATATTTAATATTAAGCCAAACTAATTAATTAATATATTATATTAAGAAATATATTTTTTTATCATATCATAGATATGAAATATTTATTAATTTGGGCAATAATTAATTTCTATTAAAAAAACTTAATTGATTATCTTTGTGAAATCTCCCTTTCTAACAATGTATATTTCAAAACAAAAAAAAACTCTAACTAATATAATTCTAGTTACAAAATATCCTATTAAATCCTCTCCATTAATTAAAAATCATAAATTAAATTATGCTCTTTTCATTTATTTATTTATTTATACTATATCTCTATATCTATTTTATATACAAAGAAGATTGTTTTGCTCGTAACTATTTTTTATCTTTATTTCTGTTTAAGATTATTTTATCGTATACTGATTATATATTATCTAGCAGTTAATATATATGGTTAAATTACAGCGATATCAATTTTGATTAATTATACACAATATATTTTTAAATTATTTTCATCCAAATCAGATTCAACAATCGATTATTCTTAAAAAAAAAATTATTTCTTAACAAAATTTATAGAGAAAAGAAGTGTCTTTATCTCCATATGTCTTAATGATTAAATTATATATATATATATATATATATATATATATATTTCTTTATCTTATTTTTTTAGATTCATTTTATTTTTTATTTACTAAAATAATTTACTTTCATCCTATATTCTTTTTTATATTTGGATCAATTTACTTATTTTAAAAGAAAGATATTTTTAATTATGCAATAAATTTTAAATTAATTTTTAAATAATTCGAAACTTGAAATATTTGATTCACTTAAATGAAAATAATAAAGTTCCATTAGTGTTTCAATTTAAAAGAGTTATAAACATGATAAAAATCGCATGAAAAATATATCCTTTAAACAACTAAAAAATCATATATAATTAAAATTTTTAATTTCTTTTAATTTTAAAATTTATTTTAATATAATTTTCATCATGATTATGACAGTTTTTATTTGAATTTCAGTCGCATTTAAGTTTTTTTATATAAATAAATTTAATGAGATAAATTTCAAGTTTTAAATTTACAAAAAAAAATTCAATCTTATCTTAAAATTGAAAAATATATTATTTTAAAAAGATTAAATTAATCTAAAATTATAAAATAAATAATCAAAATAAATATTTAAAAAATAAATGACTAAAATAAATCTCAAAAATAAAATAAAAGAGTAAAATAGAATTTAGTATATGTTAATAAAGATAAGATAAATTGCATTACAGATATTTTACTAGTTTCCTCTTTTTCTTTAATACTCTTCACAAATACACTGATACGGTAAAAGTCAAATATTCCTTACATAATATTAATTCTGTTTTTGAAACTAAATAATAATAATAATAATAATAATTACGTCCTAGATTTCAAAATATAAATTATTGAAACAGAATTCTAATTTTAATTCGGAAATAACCTATTAACTTCCATCTAGCATCGAGAAGTTAGAAAATTTTGACAAAGGATTCTTGATCAAACAAGAGTTGGGTTGTCCGTATTCAACTTCACCTATAAGAATCAAATGTTTTAAATTAAATTAGTTTGTCTTATATTTTTTTTTTGGATTGTCATTTTTTGAATATAAGGATCAAATGTTTTAAATTAAATTAGTTTGTCTTATATTTTTTTTCGGATTGTCATTTTTTGAACTAATCTCATTCATATGAGGCTAAATTGACCTAATTAAAAATATATTTCAAAAATTAATTTTCTTTTTTATAATAAAAAGATAAATTATAAAATTGATATTATATACTATCATAAAACATTTAATTATTTTTGTGCAAATCATAACTGAAATGAGATAGAAAAAATGTCAAAACAAGAGAAAAGACCCAATTAGTTAGGTAAATATACTTGAACAGTTCAACCAAAAAAAAAATTATCATAAAAAGAAAGAAAGTTCCTTACTTGAGATGTTAAAACTATTCAAGCTAAAATAATAGTAGTTCACAAAAAGAAATGGTGCCCAATAATTATGTGGTCTAAGCAGTGACACTGAGTCATTATTCTCAAATTTCACCTGAACACACACACACACACACAGAGACATATATATATATATATATATATAGGGAGAGAGAGAGAGAGAGACACACACACACACACACACACATATATATATATATATATATATATATATATAGAGAGAGAGAGAGAGAGAGAGACACACATACACACACACACACACGTGATGGCTAGGGTTTTAGAGAATACTTTCTGTCAGGGGTGTGGACCTTGTTTCACATTAGTGAATATTTATAACCCTTAAATACTGTTATTCCCATCAAATAACAATTATTCTCATAATTGCTCCATTAAACCCATTTATGATTTAGTCTTTAATTATTTAATTATTTATTTATTAGTCCCTTTATATATCACATATTTCTCACATGAGACATAATATCTTACAAGATACACACACATAGATATATATATACACAGAGAGAGATATACACACACAGGTATATATATATATATGTGTGTGTGTGTATGTGTGTATGTGTATATGTATGTATATAAACACTGATTTTTATATTATTAGTATATATAGATTATATTATTAGTATAGATTATTTGTATTTTTATTTTAATTGTTAAATAAAGTTCATAAAAGTACAAATTACTTATTTTTCCTATATTTATATTTATCTATGCTATATAAATAATATTTTTTTAAAGT